GAACCGACATGGTCACATTGGTCCAAGGGCAGACACAACATTCTGGCGTGCTTGCGCAGTCCGACGCTTGGATGCGTTTTGCACGTGGGCGCGTAGCCCTGACCAAAAAGACAATTTGGCCTACTTTGATAGAGGAAAACTTAAGTTTTCGAAAGCGGAGTCGATTTTTGCTATGTTATCTTCAAGGTGAGGCAGTTGAGGTCAAGGTGTGGGTCCCACCCCACGAAAATTTGAGTTTTTGATGAAAGCTCATATAAACTTTGAATTGGTTGATCTCCACGTTCTTAGCTCAATTTGAACATTTTTTAAGTTTGAATTGAGTTGAGTTTTTTTTTGGTGTGAATGAATGATTGACTAAAAGTGAGCTCAACAAACAAGTCTTACATCACATGAGTATGAAAGAGAATTAGCTACTATGCATGAAAAAAGAAAACACAAGAATTTCCAATGAAAATATCGAGGAAAACATTGTAACCATGTACAAAAAATTCACACCCAAGCCAATCACCCCTTTGCAATACCCTAAAATTTTTTTGTACAATGTTAGCTCTCCATGGATCTCCCTCGTATAAGTGTACATAATCTCTTTCTCACAACTCTCACAACTCTCAAAGAAAAACACACTAGAAATTTTCCCCAAGCGAGAACTAATGGAGAAATCCTAAGGAAAGAACAAGACTCCCTTTAACTTTCAATAGAAACAACCTCTATACAGTAAGAAGTCCCCCCAATGTTCCATGCATTCCCTTATATACTAGGGCTCAAAATTTGGCAAGAATTCCTTCCAATTTTGCCAATTTACAAAATAGGGTATCAGATGGGCTGTGCTGCAGTGTTGGCGTTCCAGGCGCTCTGTGAGACAGTATGGTCGTGCTTCCTTTGGGCATGGGCGTGTTGCCTATTGTCACAGGGGCACAGATCTGCCTCTCTTGGCACTGGCGCGCCAGTGGTCTTTTAGCCCTTTATTCGTCTTTAACTCCCCGGGGCACACCCAATGCGTGTATCCCGTAAAACATAATAATAACACATTCCACAAGCCTAAGAACAGCATAATAAGGAACTAAAACATGTGAGTTACGAAGAAAAATATCACAAATTTGATTCACGTAAATGATCATGTGTTCGACCATTGGAGTGCCTAAGGGAGAATCAATTTAAGCACCAATGTGTTATGAACTACAACAAGGGATAATAGCTGGACAACTCAATAGGTTTGAGGCTATTTTGTACCTTTGGGAGAACACTAAAGAATGGAAGAAGATGCACTAGAGAGAGAATATTTGTTGTAGTGATTTCTGCATAACTTTTTGGTTACATCTTCTCAGTAAATATACTCCTTTTTAGTCTAATTCACTCATCCATGCACTATAAATATCCATGCACTATAATGCTTCCTACTCTAAACAATCTAACTCATGTTGCTTTTAAGTTCACATATATTATCACACTCAAAATTTAGCTCAGCCTAGTCAAAGGCTTCCTTGTGCATTTGGAATATCATCTGTCTCCACCTAATTGTTGTTGTTGGCTTTGGAATTATTGTCTTGGTACAAAACAATCTGCTACAAGAAGTTTGTTTTTTCAGGACCAACATGCTTTCATGTATTGTGTTTTTAATTATTCTAGCCTTTGTTCTGATCAATGTTTTAGAAGGCGGAGCCGTTGGGCGGACGTTGTAGTTGTTATGGGCTGAGGCGTTTGCCCTATGGTATATAAGAAATGTTAGACATGTACTTATTAAGAGAAAAAATAAACTAATCCCTCTTAATAAAAAAGAAAATTAGGAGACATTAAAAGAACTCGTACTCATTCAATTTCAAAATAAGTCTTCTAGGACTAAAATCTTAAAGATATTAGCATAAATTCACCATAAAAAGTACAAAAAAGTAAAAATAGGTAATCATGTTTGAGCTAAAAGATAAAATAGTCGTGCTCAATCGATCTCAATCCTTGAATATTATTAATTTTTCAAGTTCATCTTCAAAGTCTTCTTTTTCACCAATAGATTTATCCAAATTCTTTTGGGGATTAAACTGTGTTCATGTTTTTATTTAAGCCCCATGGATTCTATATTGACAAGTTGTAGCCAAACACACCATCTGGATTTCACGATAACTATAGTGAAATCACTGTATATATGGTGAAATCAGCTCATTTAAATTGTTCCTACGTTTATTTCTGCTAAAATGTGAAAGATAGGGTGACGGCGGATGCAAAACTTCAGGAGATCATGGGATGATGGGTACAGAGCTGCAGGGTTGGCTGTAAGAGAGACGTCTGTAAGTGGATTGCAGGACGGTGATACTTGCAAGAGATAGGGCTGGAGCGCAATGGCCAAAACTGCTTTGCTCACTTTCTAGACCTGAGAGAGAGTTGCGAGAGAGACGGCTGCGACGAAGAGCTACAGGAGAGGCGCTGCGATGAAATCAAATAGCTCTAAGGCTCTAAGCGCAATTGATTTTTTATTTATTTATTGGTTGATGGAGGAGTACGCTCCAATGTGTCAGGACCTGGTCCGGTGCTTCGAATTAACTAAGACGGACAAGGACGGTCGGACAATGAAAATTAATTCTCCTATGTACTATTTCTATCTCTAATAGTTAAACATCCAAACATTCATGAAATAGGTACTAAAGAAAGAAATTAAATTTAACAAAATGAAATTTTCATACCTTTTCGTTTGATGTTCTCATCTTCTGTACCCATTTGGTTCTCCTCTTCTATTCATCTTATTCAAAAGTTTAGAACCTGGAATGTTAAAACAATTTGATGAGTTACCTAAATTAACCCATGAGTAATTACACTTCTAAATTATAGTAATCAAAAGAAAAGAAATCAATATGCATGTTGGTCTCTTATATCTCTGAGAAATGTTTTACTATACTAATCTTTCATATGAAATTTATCTTTGAATATACTAATACATGTATCAATGTCCTTTTCTGAATGAAAATACTATAAATTTTTATATGCATTAAATTTAGCTTTACTTTTACTTTATACTCTTTACATACACATTTGTCTGCTTCGAGGATCACCGCCTAAACATCATAACATACCCTTGGCCGATATTGCTCCGTCTGTACTGGCGGCACAACAGTTAGCGATCTACATATCACAATTATCTAGGGTGGAAAGACCCTTACCTGTCCATAGTCGATATTATTTCGTCGGCACAACGGTTAACAATGTAAACATCACAAATTTGTCGGGGAGGTATGCCCTGCCTACTCGCCCCTATCGATATTATCCCGTCGGCACAACGATTAGTAACTGACTATCACAATTATTTGAGGTGGTAGAAAAACCTCTACATGTGCAGATACACTCGCATCCCCTGCCTGTACTATTAAGGGATGAAATTCTCATCCGAACCTGAACATACAAACATTCATATATAGTTTATTATCGATATTATCCCGTCGGCACAACGATTAGTAACTGACTATCACAATTATTTGAGGTGGTAGAGAAACCTCTACGTGTGCAGATACACTCGCGTCCCCTACCTGTACTATTAAGGGATGAAATTCTCATCTGAACCTGAACATACAAACATTCATATATAGTTTATTTCATTCTTTCATTTCACGCATTCTCTTCTATGCAACATTTTCCTCTATCTACTGATGAATAATGCAAACTTAATATATATATATATATATATGTCATAAAATCAACTAACATATGCACATTTATTAAAATTCTAGAGGTTAAATAATAATGTGATATGTCATAAAATCAACTAATATGTGTGTGTGTGTGTGTGTGTGTGTGTGTGTGTGAGATAATAAAATACACTTATATGTATCTCCTCCTCTACGAAAGTCATGCAATGATCTGATATCATCATAAACTTAACTGTTATGCAACAATATTTAAAATGCACAAATATCCTATTTGACAATATGAAGAATGTATTGCTGAATTAGGTAAAACATGAAATAAAATATACAATTTGAAATAGAAATAATTGCTAGAATTTAAAAATATAATTACTCAGCTCAATTAATAGAAGATTTTTATTAGCTTAATCCTCCACTTAATCTCCTTCCTAGTCTTCTGCTAGTTAATTGTCACAAAATAAAGATCCTAAATTATTTTCAAAATGAACATTAATTTAGGTATTTACATATTTTCTAAGTTAAAAGACATAAGGTAGGATTGTATTTACCTCACTTTTTCTAGCAAGGCCCAAAACTCTTCAATTTCATAATTCAATTACTCCTCCCAATTCAAATCACTAGTTTCATCTCATGGTAATTAATATTCACATAATGACAAAATAAAATATTAATATAAGAAAATTAAAGGGATGCAAATCTTACCTCTTTCTTCCCCGTTGTCAATCTTCCCGGCTCCAAACCAAATGAAATTTGTTCTTCTTTTCTAATCATAGCTTAATACATAACATATATTAACGTCATTAATTATTTCTGTATAGTATAAATAGGAGGAATATTTAATATACAATAAGCTCATAAATATTATGGTTGGCCACATTTTGTTCTACGCTGGTTGCATGATTTTCAGAATTGTTAATTGATGTCAAGTGGCCAATACCAAGAAGGGTCAACATTTGTCGGAGACTGTATCTTTTAAGGCTTAAAATTTACTACCCCATTTTTACTTGAGCATTTGATAAAAAAATCATCTATGTTTAATGCTTGTAATTGAGCTTCAGCTTTTCTAGTATGTAATTTGGTTCAAAATAGTGTAGTTTTAGTGTTAAAAAAAGGTTACCCATGAGGGTATTTTTGCTGGCATTAGAAAAATGTGGTTGTTTTCCAAGAGATATGTGAAAGGAGAACATACTAATAAATGGAGGGATTCCTGATGCTTGTCTGTCAAAAATTTTCAAATTCCTAAAAAAATGCAACTCTCATTTTTTTGTCCATTTGGATGCCATTGAACTTTCATTGGTATAAAAAATTTCAATACTACACTAATTTTTCATGAGATTTGTTAACAGCATTGTCAAAAAATTTTGTTCTTTGCAGCTTATTACAGTGACATTTGTGTTGGTGCAATTGCTTGTCGTCTGGAGAAAATGGAAGGAGGATCAGTTCGTGCTTACATTATGACGCTAGGTGTTTTGGCTCCATATAGGGGCTTAGGAATTGGTATGTTTTTGTTGCCAGTGCATTCATATATTTCTGTTGGAAATCCTATTGTGCGTTATTGCAAACTACTCACTGACAATAATTGCTGACTATATGCTGTTACGTGTAGGAGTTTTGAAATTTTTTAGGGGTTTTCTAATAGTACGCACATCCTGGCTCAGACATTAACGCACTCAATGATTCCTCTCTGTTGGTTTTTACAGTTAATTCGCAGCCTTCTCCATCCCACCTAAGAGAATAGTGAGAATTGGGCTTGCCTGGGACAAAAACCTATGATTATCATCTTGAATTGTAAAGATCTCATCTTGCTAACTAATACATCTTCATAATTTCTTGCATGATTCTAGTCTATGTTTTCCTCAAAGAATCCAGTACCTTGGCTTCTTCAACTGCCAATTTATATGCATACATGGAAGATGCTTCTTTTATAATCTCTAGAAACCATAAGTCCACATCCAACTACACTTTATTTTATCATATATCCCGAGACATCAGAGGACCCTAACGATATACAAAGTCTTCTTAATATCCAACCAGTTTCATAAGTTTTTCACATCTGATCAGTTGGTATCGTAATACACATATTTTGCTATCAGGTTGATCTTGGATCAATACATGAAGCCTCAATAAGTCATTAGACCTGAATATTTTTGTTAGATGACTAGGTCTCTATTCCCTTACATCACATCTATCTCATAATACTTTCCCCCACAATAAGATCCTACAACTTCGATTTACTTTTCCAATTTGTTTCACGTAGTTTTTGTGGGTCTTCAATTAATCATTTTTTTTTATTTATTTTTTTGTCAGGTATAGATTGCCTATAATGAAGTTTCTTGTCAGTTAAGATGGTAAAAGTTTTATGGCCTTTTTTGGAGCATTGCTTTAAGAGAATAATGCTATTAGCTATATCCTACTTTCATTTTGTTATTTTAACTCCAATGAAATAAGCTGAAGTGCTTTATCCTTAACATGAATTCGAAAAAGTTTTATTTTATTCTCATAAATTATTTATTACTTTTTAAGATGCTTTTTAAGATACATACAACACTAGCATTAATGCTACGATTACTTAAACTTTAAAGTTTACACAAAACATACTTGTTTAGAAGCTTAATTAAAATATAATTTTGGGATTCTTTAAGTCTACGTTTGATTCCAACTCTCATGGGATTTGGCTTGATCCAAATATGGGAGACCAATCTTGAGGTTAGGATCACTTGAATAAAGTATAATTATGTACAAAATTGAAAATATTTTGGATAATTATTGTTATGGAAAATACTAAATATTAAATAGCATGCATATTAGGAAGATTGTATATTGGTTAACTTAATTAGAGGAGATTTAATTTCAATTGGAATAATAAGAAAAAAAGAAAATTTTCAATAAATATGTAACCTTTGATTTCAATTGGAAAAATAAGAAAAAATAAATTTTCCACTAACATTGTATCACAGCATCGTCGAATCCTTCCCCTTTGCATCTTTTGTCTTTGACGTTAGCTTCTAGGAATTGTTAATTTTTTTGGATTGGGCTTGTTCTGGCGTTCTCGACAACTTCGTTTGCTTCCTACAACGTCAACATCTTTTTTCTGTGATGTACTCGATTGTTTTCGGCTTGGGCGCGTTTCAGCTTTGTTGAGTTTTTGTCAGCTTTGAACTACACCATCTGCTTCGACTGCTTCCATTAGTTTCAGCTTCATCTATGACATCTGCATTGAACCGCTCAAATACATTTGCGCCTGCTTCATTTGTGACATCTGTGTCGGCTTCATGTGCGAAGGTGCATTCAACTTCATTTGCATCATCTTGAGCTTCATCTTCGTCTTCTGCCATTAGCCAGTGCCCATATGCACTGCTCTGTATCGATGGGATAAGGGCAACGACAAAGTCCTAATGTATTATGAGCTGATCTGTCAGCTTCGATTTGAATCACCTTAGTTCAGTTTGGTCAACTACTATTTTCGGCCTCAGTTGATTTAGTTGTTTTTTTTCGCCTTGGCAATTGTTGTTGGATTGTTCATGGTTTAGTTATTTGTCTCCTAGTGCTTTAACCACTATTTTGGATCATCCTTTAGCACTAAATGACATAAATTATGGTTGGTGAATAAAAAACAGCTTGTGACAGGTTTGGTTTCAATAGTGGCAAAAATTAAGGATGAAAATTAAAATGGTATCAATTTTTTTGTACTGAATGAAGCTGTGAGACTCTACCTAAACAATATCTCTCAAGAGAGTCACCTCATTTATAAGCCTCAACGGAGATGGATTTGAGTTATTTTGAGTTGATAAGGGTTGTTTCCTAACTTTTGATACAGAAACAAAACTCCATCAAACTGGATCAATCGGATCATATCGCTCCTTATGACTGTGTTAAAGATGCGATAGAAGAATTGACATTTGTGTTTTCTGAGAGTGTATTTCTGAAATTTTTTTGGTATGCAAAAACTTCTATCGAGCTAAACAACATGACAAATCACTAAACATACATCACATGCATTTTAAACATGTTTATAGAGAATTGAATGTTTTATTACCTATCAATACTGATGACCAAATTTAGTTGGCTCAAAGAGATCAAATGACTATTATGAGTTTTCTAGTTTACTTTGACTCTTAGTATGCAAATGTTGAATCATAGATCTTATTCCATCTTGGATGCACTACACCGAGGGAAGCCTACACCAGAGTACTGCATACGATTCCTAGTTTGCAGGCCTCAACCGTACAACAACTTAGTGCTCTTGCTAGTCAGAAAAATACAGACATCAGTAAAGCTTAGTCTCAAGATAATTACAGAAGTGAAATTCCGAATTATAAAAATTAAGCGTCGAAGGTAGCGTGCTATTCTGTCATGAATCTTGTCATACGAAGTGTACGTCCCAGAAGTAGCTAAAAAAGAATCATAAGAGTTCTAAATCAGAGTCAGCTCAAATAATCACTACTAATGAGGCCTCTCAGAGGCAGACTCTCTCGATCTCTACAGATGAATATGCTAAGTTCATCAAATTTCAAAAAGCATTCATGAAATCCTCATTTATCATTGCCCTTGTTGAGTCAAGTAACAATGATACTTGCATTCTTTCCTCTTCTACACAATTGGTCATTGATTCAGATGCTACAAATTATAGGACTAATAATCCAAAACTCTTTTATAGTTTTCATAAACACATTTTTTCTATCACTTTGGCAGATGAATCTACCTCTAATATTTTTGGTTTCGACACCATCAATGTTACACCCACATTGTCTCTAAATTTTGTTCTCTATTTATCTCAATTAGCTTTTAATCTTGTTTCTGTCAGCAAAATCACACATGCTATTAATTGTTGTATCTTATTCTTTAAAGACCATTGTCTATTTTAGGGTCTTATGACGAAGTAGATTATTGGAAAAAGATGAGAATCAGGGGGCTATATATTATGGATAAGGAGATTCCTTGACCCGTAGCATGTTCCAACGCTTTATCTACATTTGAAATCCATTATCGATTAGAACATTCAACACAATCAATACTGAAATATTGTACTCTCAGCTTCAACAATTATGATCTTTAGAGTGCAAGTTGTGTCAATTTGCTAAACACCATCGCTTGTCTTCTATTCTTAGAATCAATAAAAGAGTCAATCATAGTTTTGAGTTGATTCATTTTGATGTATGGGAACCTTGTCTTACTTTATCAGTATTGTCATTTTTGTAGATGATTTTTCTTCTATGACTTGACTTAACTTTATGAGATCCCGTTTCAAATTATTTTCACACTTTCAATGCTTTTGTGTTGAAATTAAAACTCAATTCAATATTTCTGTTAAAGATTTTGAGAAGTGATAATGACAAAATATAATTTCTTTGCACCCTTTCAAACATATAAGATACAAAACGAGGCGTTTCACCAATCATCCTGTGTCGATAATCCATCCCAAAATAGAGTAGCTTTAAGTAGAAATAAACATATTCTTGAGATGGTTGGGCTGATACAATCTATGTTGTATGTTTATCTATCAATCAGATGCCATCTATTATTCCATAGAACTAGATACTTTACGAAGCTTTATTTTTTTATGACTTCTCAATCCTATTGAACCACATATATTTGGGTTTACTTGTTTTGTTCGCGATACCCGCCCACAAGTGTCTAAACATGTTCTTAAGTCATGAAGGTGTGTCTTTCTAGGATATTCTCGTCTGCTAAAAAAGGTATCAATGTTTTTCTCCTCTTAAACGTCCATGATTTTTGTTGATGTCACCTTTCATGAACTAACCTCTTTCTTTGGTGACTCATCAATGTTTAAATTCCCACCAGATTTTGATGTTGTTAGTGTATCACATCATAAGTTTAGATCTTGCTCTAGCTCCATCCCAATGCCTCAGCTCAAGCCACCTATCATTAATGTTTACTCGAGAAGACCTCGCTCCCTTGATCCTATTTCGGCATCGATATCATCTTCCTCAGCGGATCCTCCTCATAGTGATCTTGATTTATTGATTGCTTTTCGAGGAGGGAATCATCAAAGCGTCTATTCGATTTCCTTTTATGTTAACTCAAATAAGTTATCTTCCACTTCGTGTTTGCTTGTTCTTTCTCTTGGCTTTTTTGAGGTTCCAAGATCTGTTCAACAAGGTTTATCCCATTATGGGTGGAGGGTAACGATGTTTGATGAGATGAATGTTTTAACTGAAAATAGAACTTGGGAACTAGTTGAAAGATCCTCTGAAAAGAATGTTTTTGGCTGTAGGTGAGTTTTTGCAGTTAAATTTCATTCTGATGGATCTGTAGCTCATCTCAAAGCTCGGTTAGTGGCTAGGGCTATGCTGAAGCTTTTGAGATTGACTACCTGGATACATTCTCTCTGATAGCTAATTTAACTTCGGTTCGCTTACTCTCGTCCTTAGCCTCAATGATTAATTGGCCCCTTAACCAGTTGGATGTGAAGAATGTTTTTTTGCATGGTGATATGCTGGTAGAAGTATACATGGAGCCACTTCCCAGGTTTGTTG